CCCCAGGCCTCCTGCAGAACATTCCAGCTCTCTCCCAGGCCTCCTGCAGAATGTTCCAGGCTCTCTCCCAGGCTTCCTGCAGAACATTCCAGGCTCTCTCCCAGGCCTCCTGCAGAACGTTCCAGGCTCCCCCCAGGCCTCCTGCAGAACGTTCCAGGCTCTCCCTGTCTAAAGGAGGAGTAACAATCACCGGGACCCAGCCCTGACACCTTCCCAGGCTGCAGCTGCTTTCCAGAGTGGCAGACACTGTGTCCACTGCTGCGAAATGGAAAAGTGCCTCAAAACTGCACAAACGGGCAAAAGCACTTCCTCAAGAAACCTTTGGTGCATGGGAATGGAAAGACAGACATACTCGCAAAGGAATCAGCCCTGCCTCAGACAGACAGACAGACATTTAGCCAGGGACCAGCCTTGCCTCAGAGACACAGCCAGCCAGCCAGACAGGTAGACATGTACTCACTCAGGGTCCAGCCTTACCTCAGAGACACAGACAGACAGACAGACAGACAGACATGTACCCACTCAGGATACCAGCCTTGCCTCAGAGACAAAGATAGACAGACACTCTAAGCCTTACCTTAGAGACACAAATAAGACAGACAGGGACCAGCCTTGCTTCAGAGACACAGACAGACACACAGACACACAGACAGACAGGTACCCACTCAGGATACCAGCCTTGCCTCAGAGACACAGACAGACAGACAGACAAAGACACTCGGCCAGGGACCAGCCTTGCCTTAGAGACACAGACAGACAGACAGACAGACAGACAGACCACATGGACTCACTCAGGGTCCATCTTTGCCTCAGAGACACAGACAGAAAGACATGTACTCAGGGTCCAGCCTTACCTCCAGAGAGTCCCCAGATATAACCAAGGCACAATCATGCTTCCTTCTAAATGCATTCAGCTCCAAATGTGCCTCTCCCCGACTGGTTACCTCCATTAAGGGAGAAAAAAGAATCCCCAATTAAAATGTTGTCTAAATTAGAGGCACAGAGGACAGGGCATGATTTGCAGAGTCACAGTGGAATGTTTTGGGCTTACTACCTAAAAGCAAAGGAGCTTCAGTATTTGGACCTAGAAGAAGGTCCTCTCCAGTCCCTCTGGCAGTGCTGGGGGTGTCTACCCTCTCAGCAACTGCAGCAGGACGCTTACAGTGAAGAATGCAGCGGAATCACCGCTCTGAGCAGATTTTACGTCAAGGGTGCCTACAAGTTAATAATTACCTTCTGGATAGTTCGGGAGGGTAATTAATTGGCTTTTATTACCACACTCCTTTAACTTAACATATGATGATAACAATGAAGAATTTTCTTGTAATTTCCATGAGGTGATTATTTAGCAGAGTGACAGGCAGGGGTGCACTGGTGTGGGGCAGTGCTGCTGAGTCACTGAGTTCTCTGTAGAAGGAGGCGCCCACCCGTCAGAGCACCAGAGCCCAGGGAATGCGCTGCTCATCGCCACACACCGGGCAACAGCCAGGATGGTCTGAAACCAAGGTGTTATGTAAACACACTGCTTTCCATAACAGGTCAAATAACGCAAAATGCTTAATTGCATTGTCTCTGCCATGGGTTTCAACTCATTCCATTGGTTTTTATTCAGTGTCTGAGGGATTTTTTAAAAAACCTAAAGGAGTAAAATTAAGTCATAATCTCGAAATATCATTCATTTTAGAACAAAAAACATATCGAAAAGCCAATGTAACTGTTTTTTCACATTCTTTCTGCAGAGATTTTATGGAGCATGAAAGAAATGATATATTAATAGTCCTAATAATAGGACTGAAATAAATTAAAAGCTTCATGTGGTTCAAATTAACAATCTCAGACTCATCTTTAAATAGGTAGGTTTTATTGTGAAAAATTTAATTTGTGGTGCTATAACACTGAAAAGTCAACAAAAATTGATCTGAAGTTTTATCAGAAGCATTAATAATTTAATTGCAAATAGTAGTCTTCAGGGCCTAATTTGCGATTCTGATGCTTCAAAACACACTACATTTACATGTAAATTGTATTCAAATAACTCCTTCTGTAGGTACAAGTGCTTCATTTAGAGCAGACACAGACACAGAATGTCTGTTCACCCACTATGAATCAAGACCCAAGAAATTTTTATTTTTTGTTTGAATTAAATTTAGTCATAACTAATACCTACAGTAAACACATAAACCTAGATCATTTCTACTAATTTTCTTTGAACGAATTAAGGCAGCACTTGTTCTGAAAATGGCAGCAATTAAGAACATATTCCTATTTTGTATTTATGGCTTGTTTCACAACAGCAGCTCTGGACAACATGTAATATGTATAAAAGGTAGAATAATGTAATTTTTCATCAATATACATTTTCACAAATTGAAAATGATTGCAGTATGTCTCTTTAAAAATAGCAAAAAATAATATAATGGTATAACCGAGAAACACCTTTGAACTTAGAGCTTGTTCACGCTGCCAAAAAGCAGCTTTTGATCACAATTGATATATGTGTCTAAAAACATCTATTTTTTACATGCTTTCATAAATTAACAATTACAATATTTCTTTAAAAAAGATATTTAGTGATTAATATTAATAAATAACTACATAGCTATCTTGACAAAAATGACAGGCTTTATTTGTGAGACAAATGTTCAAAAATTCGAAGTGATTAAGATACATACCCGTCTGAAGATGTGAGTGTCCTGTGTCCGAGGCACCAGGCGTGAGCTTTGGGCCACGCAAGTGGCTGTCTCCAGCTTGTCGCCTGTTAGCATCCATACCTAGGAAGCAACTGCAGCTGGTGAGCCTTAACAAGACAAGGACATGCTCAAACCCGGCATCTCACAGCAGCCTTATTCCCCGCAGCCAAAAGGCGGAAGCAACCCAGGTGTCCATCAACAGACAAACGGAGAAGCAAAATGTGCTCCAGACATATGATGGAGTATTACTCAGCCTTAAAAAGGGTGGAAATTCTGACTGCAGTGTGGATCAATCTTGAGGACACTGTGCTGAGTGAAAGAAGCCAGTCACGAAAGGACACAAACTGTGTGATTCCATTTACATGCGGTCCCTAGAGCCATCTAATCCATAGAGAAGCAAGTAGTTGTGGGTGCCAGGGTCTGGGGGAAGCGGGTGGGGAGATGGACAGCGTTTCCGTGTAGGAAGATGGATCAGCTCTGGAGGAGGATGGTGGCGATGGCTGCAGAAGAGGAGGCAATGCAGACTGAAACAAGGTCACGTTCCGTACTTTCAACCACAACCAAACGGTATCTGAGCTTGCTGAGCTGAAACAGGTGAGATCACAGTGATGTGCAGATACAGCGGCACGTGAGTAACACCCCGCCCGGCACGCCGTGAGTGTCAAAGGCGCTGTCCACACAGCATTCCGCACCAAGCACACAGGTCTGCCCAGGCGGCACACGACCAGGGTCTGCCAGGCTAGGAGGTTCATGAAGACCTTTACTGTAGTTTGCTAGTTTTTCAGTTGGAAGCAGAGGTTCAATGGGTAAATGGCCCATAGTCAAGACAAAAGTTGTTTATGTCAAATAAAGCATGTCAAATAGTAGTAACTTTATATTTAAAAACTGCATACCCATGCCCATCTTATATATCCCTAGATAATAGAGTAAAATCTCAGGATATTTAATATGTAACAAGATGTTTGATATACACAACAGCAAAGAACTTCAAGTCATATTCTCATTAGCTGAATTTCTCATTTCTTATGTATTATATTGAAATATTCATTTTTGGAAACAAAACAGAAAAACTTCTACATTGTACCGATTATCTGCTTAAGCACATTCTGCCTGGGGCTCTTCTCAAGGTCTAAGATTTGTGCTTTTTATTTATTTTACAGACTTATATTCATTTACTGGACTGAAGATCATGATACTATGATGACAAGGCTGAAGAGCCGGCCCTGCAGCAGCCTTAGGGCGACTCAGGAAATGCAGTGAGGTCCAGCTGAAAACCACCTCGGAGTTCTTGGCATCATGTAAAGAATAAAGAGCAGAACTCGAGAAAGTCATATAACTTAGCAAATAATTAATGTAAATATCCAAATTTTACTACAAGAGATGTTGACTACTTTAATAAACTAGTAATCTAGCACATATAAAGTAAGAAGTAGACTGAGGTAAGTTGACTACTATTTACAGTGACATGCATGGGTCATCTGCTCGTTCATTCACATGTCCAGTACAGACGGGTCTTGCCATGAACTCTGGGGCTCCAGTGAGCCCCCCGCCTCAGCCTCCTGAGTTCCTGGGATCCCAGGTACACGGCACCACACTGGCTGATCTTCTCTTGTTAATCATACTTATTCATTCAACGTTTTGGCTGTACAAAACAATTAAGTCTAGCAATCTAAACTTCCTGAGTCAAAATTTCCTCTTGTAATTTTGAATTCCTACATGAACAATTACTCTGAAACCAGATATAGCCTCATGACATACTTCCTACTGCAATCTCGAATGTGTATCAAATCTTTCGAGTCTCAGCCCTGCAGACTTCCAAAGAGCAAGGAAGACCGATGCCTATTTTCTGTCTACAGCACAGCATCTTCATCGAGACTTGGGGGATGGCTTTTTGATCTCACTTCTGACACTGTCCTTCAGTTCTGTCCCTCTAGTCTGGCTACACAGCTTTTCTCTTAAACACCAGTTATATTTTTTCCATTCTGAGCCCCAGGTCCTTGAGGTAGTGCTAAAATTATCCTAACCAATCTGCAGTTGACCGTATAGCTTCAGTGAGAACATGTGAGAAAAGTTCCTGAAAAATGAAACTTACACCACAAGTGCTAATTTCCCCTATGCAGGAAAAGGACACATCAGTAAATGAAAGAACCAGAGAGCAGGTCGGGGGGCAGGGAGTGTACGCCCCGCCACACAGCACCTGGGGGAACCACCGAGAAGCCTGGTCAGGATGCCTCACCTCTCCCAGCCAAGAAAAACACTCACACTTCGCAGACACCATATTTAAACTGCGAAGGACCACACAGCTGGATGAGATGGGGCACTGTCTGCTGAGAGCACAGGGGAAGGTGGGCACTGCCTGCTGAGAGCACGGGGAAGGCGGTCACTGTCCCTGGGAGCACGGGGGAGGCTGGCACTGCCTGCTGGGAGCACGAGGAAGGCAGGCACTGCCGCTGGGAGCAGGGGGAAGGCGGGCACTGCCCCTGGGAGCACGGAGAAGGTGGGCACTGCCGCTGGGAGCATGGGGAAGGTGGGCACTGTCTGCTGGGAGCACGGGGAAGGCGGGCACTGCCTGCTGGGAGCACGGGGAAGTCGGGCACTGCCGCTAGGAGCACGGGGAAGGCGGGCACTGTCGCTGGGAGCACGGGGAAGGCGGTCACTGTCCCTGG